ATTTATCAACACAATCTACAAATTAATAATCTGGTATAATTGGTATTTGTATTTATTAGTAAGAAGAACACTTTGTGAAATCTAAGAAGTTACATTTACCAGTTTACTAAACAGATTTATTTAAATAACATATTTATCTTTGTTTAACAAAATTACATGAACCTTGTAACTCCATGTTTGCGTGTAAACATATTTTATTGTTTTTACGTATGGAATTTACTAAAACAAATCCTACATAGAGATGCTACACCCTGCATTTATATTTAAAAACTAAATTATTTAAATTATATCATTCTTTCTTCTTTATTATTTTAAAATTTAATAAATAATGTATTAGATTTTTTCGCTGTTTTAAACTTGTACCGAAAGTACAAGTTTCATTCAAATCAAATGTTCATGTTAGAAACAATGGATATAAACAAAATAAATAAAATACTCTTTCTAAAGATATAATCGTAAACTTGCATATGTGATATCTGAATTTTCTAATTTCACGTTTGTATATTTCTTTTAGTCTAAAGAAAAAGAAATTATGCAACATTTTACATAAAAGCAGGCTATTCAGAATCTTTGATTTTCAAGTTACCCATAATCATCCTATACATACATACGTACATCTGCAGAGACGGTACATTAATTTCCTGTACCTTTGATCAAATAACATGCACGTAATAATAAAATTTCAAGGTATTGAACGAATCATCAACACCCTAATACAAGATGATAAAAGAAAATCTTTAACAGATTGTGTGAATTAATCGTCTTTTGTGAAATATATTAAACAACATGTGCCCATCCTATGCCCATTCGGAATGAAATAAAAATGGAAAAAAATATATATATTTATTATTTTATAGAGTGCTGGATGTAGAGAAATGGTACGAAAGCGGCCCCTTCGACGTGATTCTCTGCCTGAATCTGTTGGATCGTTGCGATCGACCTAACACCTTACTACGACGTCTGAGGTCGTCTTTAGCTCCAGGTGGTCGCCTGGTCGTAGCACTGGTTCTCCCCTTTAGTCCTTACGTGGAAGTTGGTGAAAGGGGTGACCACAAGCCATCGGAATATCTACCAGTTAAAGGGAACGGCCTAGAAGGTCAAATAGCCAGCCTCGTCGACAGAGTTTTCGCGCCATTAAGCCTAAGATGCCTCGTATGGAGTAAATTACCATACCTGTGCGAGGGTGATCTCGGCCAAGCTTATTACTTTCTTGACGACGTGGTATTCGTTCTAGAGGCACAGCCAGTTAGTATTACAATTTAAATACAATTCTGTGAATTTCCAATGAGAAATATTTTCTAGAAAACTCATATGCTAGAAGCTTTTAGGATAGCTCGCGATACTCAGCATCCGGATGGATGGATACGGAACCGTCTGGCAGAGAATTCCGCAACGTGCTGGTCCAACAACAGGCTGGTTACGAACGGAAATGTAATACAGGCAAGTCACACTTGTAAAAACTTTAATGATTGCTGTTCATCAGTTAGAATTATGCAAGAATACAGAAGAGCAATACTGGCAAGCGACAACGAGCTTAATGTGCAAATACAGCGGTAGCATTGGTGTATTATAATTCATCATTCGTTTGATCGATTATTCATTTATGCAACTTGATAAATGAACAACGACGGTGCGCATCTTACAACGATCTTACTGTCAAAGTCAGAAGGTGCAGAAAACTTGTACACGGTTCCTATTGGTAATAAATATGACGCGAGAGCAGTAAAACTTGGAAACTGGATTCTGAACAACATTTCATACGGCTTGCGATTTCTACCTCGCATACACCTAAAACGTTTAATTTGCCTTGAGATTCGGTTTTTTTGTACCTTTTATCATCAGACTTTGTTTCCGTGCTCCCTCTTACTTTTTTTCTTCTCTTTTTTTTTCCTTTTTTCCCTATTTTCTTTTTTTTTTTTTTGTTTTTTTTTTTATTATTTTTATTTGGCATACACGTAACGACTTAGTCATGGATATGCTTAGTCGTGTTCGACAAGACAAACCGCGATACGGTCGCGTTGGTCTGTCTTGTAATACGTAGCTACTAGAAGAAATAGGTCCATTTAATTGTTGTTGCAAATACACTTTGGCGTGTAACAGGTAAATCATCAGAATACTTAGATGATATAGCAGCATTTACTTTTAAGATTCACGTCGATTAACAAAAAACAAGGGATATACAGGACTTAAATTTCGGTGATATTTCAGATTGCATGCGTTGCGCGATGTATAACATTCTGTGTGCCAAATCTGGATGACCCGTAACTGAAAAAAACACAACTTGTACGTGTTTTGTCCACTAATCTCAAGCATAATCAGAACGCCAGAAACTGTAAAATCGATTTTTGCTTCTAATAATTCCAATAATTTCATAGACAACATTAATCTGAAATCTATGTCGATTGTAAGTTTTATTATTAAATCTTATCAATTTAAGACAACAGTTCACTGGCTTACATTATTTTTCCAATGTTCATTCCAATAGTAAACTGCAGAGACAAGATAACAAAATTAATTTAGCATATAGAGAAGAGAATGTAAAATAACGTAAAGGTAAATGGTTTAATGTTTTATCTTTCGCATTATCTTCATGCTGTTATGTGTGTATATATACACCCACGCTAAATCGTATTTCTTCAGGATACTGCTTGAAAATTATGAAAATAAAATGTGTTTTGTCTTTGCACAGCTTTTATACGTAATAATAACATCCACAATCCTACAGCTTATATATATATATATATATATAT